CTGAGCAGGGAGCCCGATGTGGGACTCGATCCCGGGACTCCAGAATCATGACCTGAGCCGAAGGCAGTTGCTTAACCAACTGAGCCACCCAGGTGCCCCTCAGTCTGTTTTTCTGGACTGCTATAAAAATGTCTGTAAAACACATACACACACATATACACAGACACTATAATTATTTAAAGATAAGAAAAGGGATCATATTATGTATATTATTATTGGAACTTCCTTTTCAGTTAACAGCTCACAAGCAGCTACCATGTCCATGGTCAGGGCATAACGATCTTTCTCTTTCACACCTGAATAGTGTTAGTCCTTGACCCGAAGTCTTGCCCATGAACACAAGCTCAGAGGGTGATAAGGAGGACTCCTGAGCAGATGGCCTTTTAGCCTGATTCCTGTGTTCTTCTTTTTTAGTATCCGAGATTTACTGAAGTTCAAAGAAGAAGTGACCAAGGAGCGAGACCAGCTCTTGTCTGAAGTGGTGAAATTACGAGAGTCCTTAGCTCAGACCACTGAACAGCAGCAGGAAACGGAGCGGTGCAGAGAAGAGGCAGAGCAGGCCATCAGTCAGGTCTGTTCTGCCACGGAGGGCAAGATGAAAGAACATTACCTTCCAGAAGTCCTTCTCATCTTGTTCCTCTGTTAGATCTACTCCCTGGTGCCCAAACGAAGCATCCACAGTTCTGCTTGTTTCTCTGGTTTGTTCTTGCAGGAGCAGTTTGCTTTGTGCATTTCCTCTCAACATTCTTTGTCTGAGAAGTCACTAAGACAGGGCACCGCTTAAAATTTTGGCCTAAGAAGGTGTCCCTGGTAAAGGCCAAGATGCCCTGCGTTTGGGGATGGTGGAAGAAGTAGCTTCCTTGGCTCTTCTCCTTTGTAAGGACCCCTTTTGAATGCTTTTATGTAAATCCAGAAGTCAACTAGATGATTCACACGTGCAATCTCCAGGAGAAAAACATGAGACTCCTTTGAGCATGAGATGACAGAAAGATTTTTCATAGACTTTGGCCATCATGATAAAACTAGAATGCTTTGTTTAGTAATACCCAGGGTTCATGTGAAACATAATTTCATATTTAGGGTAGCTGGTGACATTTTATTTAGATCCTATTGATAAGAGAATTGGATGAATTCTTTCCATGCTTAGCTTCTCTAGAATTCTGGGCTTCCATATTTAACTGGATTTTATACCATTCTTTGTGGATTTGTTCCCACCATCTGGGTGGATGTTTGGTGTTAAGACCCTGAAAAACGATACAGAATATTCTTGAAGTTTAAACATTGGGGTTCAAAGATGACTGTCCTGCAGGGGAAAGGCTACTACAAGGTGGCTGCCCTGAAAATATAAGATTTGAGAAAGGGAGAATCTCAGATGGTTGAGACGTGTCCTGGCGTGGGCTTCATCTCTTTCCTTCCTGTCCTTTCTGTGCCCCTAGTTCCAGCAAGAAATCCAGCAACGTCAGAATGAAGCTTCACGAGAGTCTCGGAAGAAGGAAAAACTAGAGAAAGAACTCAAGCAGATTCAGACGGACATGGACACCAGGCAGACAGAAATTAAGGCCCTCCAGCAATATGTGCAGAAAAGCAAGGAGGAGCTTCAGAAGCTGGAGCAGCAGCTGAAGGAGCAGAAGGTGCGCTGGGTGTGGGCGACACCGCAGTCCCCGCAAAACCAGGAAGGGTGCCTTTGGAGCACTTTGAATTTTCTTTGGAAAGCAGCAAACTCTCTTCACTAGAGATGTGGATAACACAACACTTAGCATTACATTGCTCTTTGAACAGTTCAGATAGGTAGATATGACCTTCTTTTTTTTGTTTTTTTTTTCCCCCCAGCTCCAATGGGTTAATTTCTTTTGAACCTTCTATTGATGTATAATATACACATAGGAAAGTGTGTGATTCACAAGTGTACAGCTTGATGAATTTTTTCCATTTAAACCCATCTTGGTCACCTGCACCCAGCCCAATAAACACTACCCCAGATGTCCCCTTGTGTCCCCTCCCAGTCACTCTCTCCCCCAAACTTTACCTCTATTCTGAATTCTCAGCAGAGTTTAGTTTTGTCTGTTTCTGTACTTTACAGAAATGCAATCATACAGGGTGTACTCTTTTGTGTTTAACTTCTTTGGCTCAATATTCTGTTTGCAGGATTCATTTATGTTGCCACGTAGTTATAGAGTGGCATTGTCCAGTATGGTAGCCACTAGCTATGGGTGGCGATTTAAATTTAAGTTATTTAAAATTAAATAAAATGAAAACTTTAAGTCCTCAGTTGCTCTAGTACCATTTCAAGTGCTCACTAGCCTCAAAGGTTGGTAGATACCATATTGGACAGCACAGCTAGAGAACATGCATATCATAGTGGAAAGTTCTATTGGACAGAGCTCAATAGGCCATTCAGACTCATAATATTCATTGTGTGACCATTACATGATTTAATTTTTAATAGGCTTATTTTTAAGTTTCAAGTTTAGGAAACCATATTCAGTCTTTATGCCTTTTAAATATGGTACTATTTTTAACGTTTCCCCTATAATAGCAGTTTAAGGTAACTCAAATAGTAGTAATTCTGGTCTGTCTTTTCTCATTTCTTTTTTTTTTTTTAATTTATGTATTTATTTTAGAGAGAGAGAATGGAACAGGGAGAGAGAGAGAGAGAACATGTGTGTGCAAGCTGGGAGAGGGGCAGAGGGAGAGGAGGAGAAGCAGGCCCCCGGCTGAGTGCAGAGCCCTAGGCAGGTTTGATCCCACAACCCTCCTGTGTGGATATGCAGATACTGTAATCAGATTAAAAAGCATTAACCAGCTCTTGATGCGCCTTTCAGATCTTGAATGAAAGAGCAGCAAAGGAGCTGGAGCAGTTTCAGATGAGAAATTCAAAACTTCAGCAAGAGAACGAACAACACAGTCTGGTTTGTGAGCAGCTATCCCAGGAAAACCAGCAGAAGTCTTTGGAGCTCAAAGTAAACACCAAGTGACCTATCTATTCCCTAGCACCCCTTCCTTCATTCCCTATTAATTTAGGTTTACCTTTGTGGCTGGAGCCCTTGGTTGGGTAACCTGTATTAGCCTTGATATGTCAGAGGCAGGTGCAAGCCTTCAGCGATGGCTTTCTTCCTAGAAGGAGATACTTTGATGACTTCCATTCTTCTAAGACCACAAACCTGAATATTGATCATATGGTTGTGTGGATGGTTTTGAAAGCTGGCTCCAATGCTCATCTCTGTAACTTAGCCTTGGAAGTAACTACTTACTAGTTAAACCATTTACGTGAGCGAGTAGCAAAGAAGTCAGATTATATTTTACGACTTGTCTAGAGAAGGTGGAATGGGAGGGGTCGGGGATGGACTGGTACTACTGGGTATCTACTTCCAGGATTGCAGAACCATGATTTTTACTTCTGTCCACTGTAAATTGCAAGACAGTCTTTCCATTCTTCTCCCGGTCCTCAGTGAAGAATGCTTGCAAATTATGTTTGGATAAAAGTTGTATACTTGGGTACATATTGTATACCTACCTGCTTAACAGAGCAGCTTTGTGTTTATCACGAATTCTGAAAAAATCCATAAACCCTTCTCTGGTTACGTTTAGGATACTAGGCACAAAATGAGTGACTGATCAAGAATGATACATGGATTTGATCAGTGAATTACAACAGTTTTTGCATCATAGGCCCTTTTGACAGTCTGATGACAACATGTACACACACACACACACACACACACACACTTATGTGCACATCTTGCATCTTATTTTGAATGCAGTCTCAGGTTTCCAGGATTTTTCTGAAGTCTAACCACAGGGTCTGGATTAAGAACTACTGAGTTAGAACATTCTAGTGTTCTAATTGGAAAGGGCCTTAGTTCAGCTAATTTGGCTCATGTAAATCTGAGGTGGAGGAGCATTTAAAGCAGTCCTGGATGGTTTGACTTGAAACCATTCTTTATGAGAAAGCTGTAAATTGAAGCAGAAATGAAATGGCTACTTTAAGGCAAAATAATGTATTAACCCCTAAGGTGAAATTAAGGTAAAAATGCTTACGCCATTAATTCTCTTCTTTGATAACATGAATGGGGCACCTTGAAAGATGTAGTATTTTTGTTATCAGATTCTGAACCTACGGGATTCTACTTCTAGCAATAATCCGAGAATAACATGCCCAGCTCAGTGCAGTTTCTTCCTTGTCAAGAGCTGGGGATAATTGCTAATGTTGATTTGCGGACGAATCACTGGTTGCTTTTCCGGTAATTTCTAAGAATGGCAAATTAAAAAAAAATGAATTTAATTTAAATTTTAAAAAATTCACAAACCTTGAAGTCCATTGACAAAAATCTGGTGTTTTCTTTTTCAAGAGTTATTATTTTAGTACTTTTTGCCTTTATGTAGACTTGCCTATTCATGTTGCCCTGTCCACATATCTGTATGTACACTCACTGACTAACATCCTCTGAGGCAGGAGGGCCCTTTCTCTAGTGTATGTTATTACACTAAAGTGGCCACGTGGGTTCACAAGAGTATTTGAATATATTATAGCATGTTAATAATCTTTTGAGAGAGATCACTCCGTGAGTCCATAAAAATTGCCCATCGAATACAGCATTTGTACACAAAATTCACACATTTATGATACATACGACTCAGCATTCTTATCCTGTTTGATTCAACAATTCAGTGGTAACTTGAGACATCAGGTTTAATCAGTCTTTTCATTATTTTTTAGCTTACATAGCCACATGTTTTATTCAGAGACTAGTTTTTCAATTTCTCTCAAAACCAAACAGTGTGTGTTTTTGTTTAACCCATAGAACAACTTTGGACTGACACAGGAACAATTTCCTTTTATTGGTTCTGAGTTTACCATCATGAAGTCACTGGTCCTTTATTTACTGAGTGTCCCTGGTTAATGCTGTCTCATTAATTACAGGCCAAAGAGGAAGAAGTCCATCAGATGCGGCTTGACATTGGGAAGCTCAACAAAATCAGAGAACAAATCCATAAGAAATTGCACCAGATTGAAGATCAAAAGTCAGAAGTGGAACAGAACAAGGAAACTCTAAAAAATCAGATCTTGGGATTAGAGAGAGGTAAACCAAGAACCATTTTGCACTTTGTTTTATTCCTTTGTAAACATTTCATTGATGACTAATGTCATTTGGTAACCCAGGGCTCTGTGTGTACAAACACAAACCATGCCAAATGTAATCAGTAAAACAACTTTCAAGCTGGTAAGCAGCCAATATGTAGGGGACATCATTTTGAATATCTTAAACTTTCTTACCTTAAAAAATTCTTCAACAGACTATATTGGCACAATTTAAATCCAGCCAAAAGTATTGCTCCATACTTGTCACTGGACTAAATAACATATGTACTCTTAGGTCTTGGTTCTACATGACCTTCTGCTTTAGTCCCTTTTCTCATGGAAGATAGGGCATAAACTAAAATGAACGTCCCCCACTAGCAGTATTTGGGACAAGAATCAGTGGGGCAAAAATAAAAGGCTCCTAAATTCTTTTCTCTGTTAGTCCTTTACCATGTGGTGGACACTTGTTTTACCAGCTATCACATTGCCCTGTGGGGGAAAAATTTAAGTGCCATGGAAGGCCATTATAGCACAGAAAAACCATTAAGGATACAAACTAGGGAGTCATGTCTACCTGGGCTCGGATCCTGCCTTCACTGTATTTACTGTTGCGGGAGGAGATGAGCTAATACACATTGTGGCTAGTACCTAACACAGAGTAAATGCTTACTAAATGGCATCTATTATTATCCAGGCTTATTACTATTTATGTAAGTAGTAAGATAGAATGCCATCTCATTCTGAAAAAGAATAGAATTGAAAATAGGATTTACTAGTCAAATTTGGTGTGGCAGAAACAGCTCTGGACTCAGAGACGGAGGATCCGGGTTTGAATTTAACTACACCAGAGTATGTGAGGCAGGAACAGGTTGTCGACCTTACGTGCGCTACCGTGAGTTGTAGGTCACCAAATGAGGCAACATACATAACAGCATAAAAGCATACATCGCCTCACTAAAAGTTAGGTAAAACCTAAATCTCTAGGTAAGGTTATCAGAAATCCAGTTGGTCCTGAACAACATGTGTTTGAACTGTGTGGGTCCACTTATGTGTGGATTTTTTTTCGATAAATACAGTACAGATAAATGTATTTTCTCTTCTTTATGATTTTCTTAATACCATTTTCTTTTCTCTAGCTTACTTTATTGTAAGAATATAGTATAGAATACATATAACATACAGAAGATGTGTTAGTCGATTGTTTCTGTTATCAGGAAAGCTTCTGGTCAACAGTAGGCTATTGGTAGTTAAGTTTTGGGGGAGTCAGAGTTATATGTGGATTTCACCTTCATGGGGGATTGGCATCCCTAACTCTCATGTTGTTCAATGGTCAACTGTGTGTGTTGTGTAAGCCTTTGAACAGTGCAGATATTTTTCCCTCTAAGACATCAGGAAATAATCTTTTGTTGAGGTACAGTTGTGGCTTGAGAATTTCTCCATTCCTTCAATAGATTGAGTACCTACTATGTGCAGGCACTAAGGTTGGCTTTGGGTGCATGGAGGTCCCTGCCCTCAGAATGCTTACAGTCTTGCATGAGTTTACAATCTAATGTCTTCAGTGACAGGAAGGAAAACAGAATTACTAGATCATATTTTGTAACTGGTTTAGTGACTTTCAAAACACTCCCACATTTAAATTTCTGTATTTTTGCTTGCAATAGTTCTGAAAAAAATTATTCATTCAGTGTTGGACCTAATTCTTCATTCTTAAATCATGTTTACAGAATTCATCATGCTCTCTCCTCTGGTTATTTTATAGATCTCGTTAACATCATTATTTCTTCTTAGGGTCCTCTTCCTTTTGATGTGCCTGATCAAAGAGTGGCATTGGACATGATAGTTAGGAGCACGAGTCCTCCATGTGTTATGATTTTCTATCACAAAACCCAAGGAACTAACGATAAACTACCAGAACTAATGAGAGTTCACTGGGGTGGCAGGTTATAAAATAAATATATACACATCGATAGCTTCCTCTCATACAAAGAATTGGTTAGAATATATGATGGAAAAACCCCTTTTCACAGTAGCAACTAAAGTAATAAGATATCTATAAATAAAGTTACTGGGATAACTGCAAGACATGTATATATTGAGGGGTATAAAGTAAGAAGACTTGAAAAATAGAGAGATATACAAAGTTCCTGGAGGAGAAAGCGCAATATGATAAGGATATAAATCTGCCTAAATTAATCTATACATTTAATATTTCCAATAAAAATTTCAGTAAGTTATATTGTTGGGACTTGAGAATTGATTCTAGAGTTCGTCCAGAAGAATAAACAGGTGACAATGGCCATAAAATTCTGGAAAAGAGGAGTGATGAGGGAGCACTTGCTTTACTAGGTGTTTAATATTTTAAAGCTTCAGTAATCAAAGAGTGTAGTGAAAATGCCTGATAAAACAGATCAATGGAAGAGATTGGAAAAGGCACAAAAAGACCCAAGGTTATCATCAAGATCAAGGTGTTATTTCACACCAGCGTGCAGTATGGATTGTTGAGAAGATGGTAGCATGACAATAAGTTATTTTTTGGGAAAAAGAAGTTAATACCAGATGTGGAAACCAGAAAGCCAAGATCTAGAAGATTTAATGAAATAAAAGCTGAGGGTTGTTTTTTTTTTTTACTGTATCAAAGTTTCTCTATATAAAGGCAAATTGACCAAAATATTGCCAAGAGTTAGTATTTTTGTTATATATAAAGAGTTCTTACAAATCCACAAAAAGGATAAACAATTCATGAGAAAAATGGGCATAGGGCAAGTGTGGGCAATTTTAAAAACAGAAATACAAGTAAATGGTGATTAAACATGAAAAAGTAGTCAACTTTACTACTAATCAAAGAGATGTAAACTAAATACAGACATAGGGTTTTAATAATCTATTGGATTGTCAAAGAGATCAAAGAGCATGATACCCAGTGGTGGTTTGGGTGTGGATTTAAACTGCTATCAGTTTTCTGGAGCAAAATTTGACAGTAGGAGAGAAATGCCTTTTTTTTTTTTTTTAATCGCCTTCGATCCAGGACTTCCTGTTCTAGAGTAACAAATGAATAAGAACTTTCACAGATATATGGCTTATAATTGCAAATAAATAAGTAAAGTGGAAGCAATTTAAATGTTAAGGTGGGGGATTGGTGAAATAAATTATGCATTTTCGTATAGTGAAATATCACAGAGCCATTAAAATTCTGTTGTAGATGCCCATTTATAATATAGAGAGGCATTTATTTTATGTTAGTTCATTATAAAAGCAAGCTACAAAATAGTATGTGTTGTATAATTCACTTTTGTGTATATATATAGGAATGTGTGTATATCTGTATTTTTATACACACACATATTTGCATAGGAAAAAGTCCGGAAAGAGACCTATCAAAATCCTAAGTAGATTCTGCTTGACTTGAATTTTTTTCCCTTTTGTTCATTTGGATGTCTCATTTGTTTCTGTCTTCCTAATTACTTGTATAATTAAAAAGATTTAAAAAGAGCAAGGACTTTTGGAGTCCGAGAAACCATGCTCGCAACCTCAGCCCTGTCACCTCTTGGTCGCAGATGGGTGGCATGTGGCTTAATCCTGCTGAGACTCAGTTTCCATGTGTTCAGTGGGACAGGAGACCTCCTTCACCGAGTTATAATAGATAATATATAGATCATGGAACACTCAATAAATAGGAGTTTTATAGCTGCAGATAAACGCGTAAAGCCGTTTCTGTGTCGCATTGGCTTTGGCCTTGGCAGATTCTTTCTTGGGTCGGCTCCATATTTCTTCTTCTTCTCCTTGGCCATTTAGAGGTGGAGGCTTCAAAGAAACAAGCAGAACTTGATAAGAAAGCAATGGATGAGCTTCTGAGAGAAAGGGACATATTAAATAAGGTGAGTGTGTTCCCATAGCCCTGGGAAATAAATGTCTTTCTCTAACGCTATGATATCTGCCTCTAACCCGTTGTGCTGGGGAAAGAAAACTCTGAAGCGAACAAAAGTAGATCAGAAATAAATCATCGTGGTCAGTTTTCTTCCAAGCTGCCGGGCGCAGTCCACCATCCGCGGGCTGAGAACTGAAACTGCATTATCACTTGTGAGCAAGAAGGGATTTTGGGGAATTATCATATAAACGAGCAGGAGACTTAAGAGCGTTTTGTGGATTCTGATTCTCTTGCTGGTGTGTTATTTGGCATCCTAAGCGGTTGATCAAAATTTCTGAATTTAATATCTATAATCTGCAACTTTTGCTAATCCAGAAGATACAAATGAGTGCTAATACAATTTTACCTTCGAGGAGTTTGGTATAAGAAAGGCCAGTTGATGCCATAAAACTTCCCGCCATCTTTTGGGGACTGTTGTAGGTTTTTGTTTTTGTTTTCAGCCTTTATATCTCCTAGTCTTTGAGCTCAGTCTGGTCCAAGGCTGAGGGAGGGGTTGCAGGAGCTTGAGGCCTAGAAAGCTTCCAATCAAGGGAGGACACCTACCCCTACCCCTTTCTTCTCCAAACCAGTTTAGAGGATTCCTTCCTTTGATAGTCACTCTTAGGAGGTTAACTAGTTCCAAGGATTTAGGGTAAATTTTCCTGCTCAGGGATTTCCTCCAGAGAGGAAAAATCAAAGGGCCAGGTGGAGAGTGGGGAGGCTGCTTCCAGAGCAGGCCCAGACAGTCATCTCATCAAGTAGGAACAGCTTATATTTTTTTTACTCCAACTTTCATTATTTCTTTTGGCTTCCCAGAATTGAACAAATATTGACAAAATAGACCACTCTGGGAGCTTAAAGAAGACTATTTAAGGGATCTCAGGAAATAGGAGTTTACCTATCTTTACATGCTGAGCGCTCCTTAGAAAATCGTTGTTTTTTGGATGATCCTGGAAACTGTTCCTTTATTCAATAAATTTGCACATGCAAACAATGTTGTTGGATTTAGATTTTTTTTTTTTTAAGATTTTATTTATTTATCTGACAGAGAGAGAGACAGCGAGAGAGGGAACACAAGCAGGAGGAGTGGGAGAGGGAGAAGCAGGCTTCCCGCGGAGCAGGGAGCCCGATGCGGGG